GGCCTTTTCCACCGTCTCCAAGTAGGGGGCGCGGTGGACAGCAGGGGCATTCTGGGGGGCTGCTCAGGCTGGATGTGGTCAAGGGACAGGGACCTCCGGTCTCAGACGGAGAGTCCCCCAGAACATCCCGTAATCACAGGAGCGGGGTGTCTGGGCCGGCCAGGCGGGAGGAGGGAAGGGAGTGGACGCAGGTTCTGTCTTATTCTGAGGGACGTCCCCTGGCCCATCAGTTAAGAGGAAAGGCAGGGTAATTCCTAGTCTGTCTCCAGGTTCCTAAGAAGACTGTGTCCTCGGGGAGACCCAGCTGAGCCGGAGCGCCCTGGCAGCTGCGCAGGGGGCAGGCTGACACCGAGGAATGGCCAGTCGTCCGTGGGGGTTTGATTTGCTGGCTCCCTTTGGGGGCGGGGTGCCTGGAAAGCATGGGTGTGCCAGGCGGGTCACCTCCTCCCGAGGCCCATTGTGCATTTTTCTCATGAGGATCTCGGCTGATGGATGTTTGACGACATCTCCAAAGGTCACACTGCTGATGGAGGGAGACTTGGCAGTTTTAATGATCTCTCGGGCTGTGTGTGTATTTGCAGCCAAGCTTGGTCCCCTTTGATTGGAGCCCTTACAGATCCTGAGACACAGTGAAACGTGGGTGGCAATGGCAGCTCCCTGTGCCAGCACCCCGATGGGGACCCGGCTGTGATCTCTGTAGACCCCCAGTGACCCCCTCCTCCCCAGGTCTCAATTGCAGCTCTGGGCTATCATGGAGGTCTGGGAGGGATCCCCCAGTGGGCATGAGGATGTACGGAGATGGGGCTGCCCAGACTCCGGCCCAGTGTGGGCTGTCATCCTCACTTGTGGCTCCTGCCTGGACGTGTGTCACCTGCGGGGAGACCAGACTGTGCTGTCACAACTGCTTTCCCACTTGAGAGAGAAAAGGCAGAAGGGTTTTGTAGGAATACGCGTGTGTGTGACAGGCTGGGATCCAGGCAGACTTTTTCTTCCTGTCACTTGGAACCTGCTGTCCTCGGACATGATGGCCATGGCCTTGTCCACCTGGGGTGGAGGCAGTGGCAGTGGAGACGAAAGGGGCTTCCGTCCACTTTCTCAAATCCATGGGGAATGAATGGTATCACCCTCGCCAGTCGCCCTGAGGTGCCCCCAGGCGGGTCCCTCTTCTAGAACACTGGGTCCTCACACTTTCCAGGACCCGGTGACATTGAGCTGTGTTTGGCTAGAGGACATTTTCTCCAGGACCCTGAGTCAGGGCCTCCACCTGGCCAGGAAAGGGGCTGCCGCCCAGGGTCAGCCGGAAACCCTGCCCTCAGGTGCTTGTTGGGCGATGTCTGCTCTGTCCTCCGGACCGAGCCCCGTCCCTGCCGGGAGCGTGGTCGGGCCAGGGCAGGGTTGGGCCTGGACTGAGGTGGGCAAGAAGACCTGTTCCTAGCAGAGGCCTGGCACCTCAGGGCACCTCACTCTAGGTGCCAGCCTGCTGTCAGGGCGAGAGTGCTATGGCGGGGTCCCCAACCTGCGAGGCCTCGGGCCTCTTGGGGTCCCCTCTCAGCCCTTTAGGAGAAGGGCCTTCCCCGTGGTGACACAGGACCCCAGGCGTCTGCCCTCCAGGACTGAGGAGGGGACATGTCTGTGGTTTGAAGCACCTCATTTGTGGTCCCTTTTTCTGGCTGCCCTGGGACACTAAGCCGTGCAGGCCTTGCAGCTTACCTGGATGACCTTGGCAGCGCCTGGACCCCCCCCCCCCCCAGCCTCAGCCCCTGTCTGTAAGGTGGGGGTGGTGATGGCCCCCCAGGGTGTTGTCACAGTGGAAGTAACATGGGGGACGGTGTCCTTGGCCCCCTCCGGTGACACCAGGGTTGTGGTTGGTGCTGTCCTCAGGCCGTCCTCACCTGCTCTGGGCTCCACTCTGGGCCTCCTGGCTGCCCCAGGGATTTGGGCGCAGAGGGTCTGACAGTCATCACAGGCATCGTGGACGCAGGTCTGGTGTCTGTCCTGTTCTGGAGACAGCTGCAGAGGGAAGATGTCTCACGGTGTCTAGCAGGGCAGGAGGTGATTGGGAACTAGAGAGCAATGTCCAGGGTTTTCTTTTATGGTTTTGGCCTTTTTTCTTTGCGTCAGGCAAACATTGTCCCTGGGAATCTGCTGGCAGGGGCAGCACAACCTTCCTGGAGCCCAGAGCTTGCGAAGCCAGGGCTTCCGGCAGGTATAGGAGCCTGACAACTCTGCCCGGTTAGTGCTGCTGCTGGCTCAGGGCCCGGCGAGGTCTCCGTTTGCTCGGGGGCCCTGCCCGACTGCACGTGTTCCTTGTGCCTGGAGATGGGTCTGGCCCCAGCCCTCTCCGTCTCTTTCTGGGTGGGCCGGGACCAGGCCTGCTCTGGGTGAGGGTCGCTGTGACAGCTCAGGGCACTGGGGAGGCAGGGGTCCAGGGGAGAGGTCTGTCCCGTAGGCTTTGTGTCAGGCTCCTCTGCCTGGCTGGGAGGTTTTTCTGGAACACTGGGTGACATCACAAGACACAGGTTGAGTCCCATGACAGCAACCCAGTTGCTGCAGTCCCTGCGGATGCTCCTTTCCCGGTCATTGGAATCCTGGCCATGCTGCACGGGAAGAGGACAGTGGTTCCCCTTCCCACCTCCCTGCCAGGCTGCTCTCAGACCTTGAATGTCGCTGTGCTGAGCTGAGAGCTGCCGACCTTGGCAGGAAATGTCTTCAGCCCCTCAGCCTCTCTGCCCAAGGTCGTCCTGGGCCCCAGGAGCCCGGTGGTGGACTCAGGGCCTGGATGGGCAGTGAGCCCCAACCTCAGTGACAATGCAAGGAGGGGCCATCTTCCCCGTCCACCCTGGTCCATGGCCAGCAGCCTCATGTTGGAAGGTCTGCAAAGGTCAGTGCCTTGTCCCACCTTCTCCCTCCCCCAGCTTCCCATGTACCCGCCTTGGGCAGGGTCGTCCTCCTCAGAGGGTTGCTCTGGGCTTACACACCTGCCACTGCACTGGGTAGAGCCTGGGGCCTCCAGCCAGTGCCCGGACAGGCAGGCATGGTGCCTAGGTTCTGACCTCTCCGTGCCGGGGCCAGCATCAGAGAGCCCGGGTCGCCTGCTGAGCTGGGAGAGATGTCTGGGTTTCTCTGGACATCTCTCCAGGAGTTTATCAGATGTGAATGGAGAAGGCTTTGATTCCTAGTTCATGTCACACGTCAGAGGAAGATGTTCTCTGATGGAATCTCTTTCCACTTAAGTTTTAGTTGCATTAGTGTCACATGTGTTCAGACTTTAAAGTGATTAATGAAAGAAAGGTATCTTCGTGCTCCCAAATGACCCACTGATTCTGCTGGGCCTCGTTTCATGTTCCGTTTAGGCACTACTCTCGGACTCTTTTCTGTGGAAGTTGAAAATTTTGCAATCTTGTAACCCGTATTCCGCGCCCACATGTGCACACAGGCACACTTTGGCTACATGCAGGTTCGGTGGCCTAGTAGAAATTGCAGCTTATCCATGTGGATAATTATGAATCTATTTACTTTTGTTAGGCTCTGTTCTCTGCAGAGCTCACTGGCCTCGGTTTGTGGCTGCTTAGTTTTTATGTTCTTAACATTTGTTTGTCCCCAGCCCTCTAAGAGAAACTGAAATCTCTCATGTCGGCAGACACGTGGGGTATTTGTCTCCATCTGTGATCACTGTGTGAACAGACTTCCCCGAACCGAGTGGCTACTGCTGCCTTGTTATCTCTGGTGATTCTCTGTGGTCCTGGCCGTGGCGCGGAGGCTGGAATGTCCACCTGACTCCTTCCTGCCTGAGGCCTCGGCTGGGGCACCAGGACAGGCTGGGTGGGGTGGCCGTCCCTGCCCCCCACAGGCACACACTCACACACCAGGGCCCTTCCGTGGCTGGATGGGCTCCTGCCCTGCGTGGTGGTCTCAGGATAGTCAGGGTGTTGTTGAAGCAGCTCAGGGCCTCCCAGAGGGCAAAATCGGAAGCAGCCAAGCAGCCGCTGTCCTGGGGCTGGGCCAGGACCCGGCACAGATCACTTCTGCCTCCTGAGTTGGTGAAAGAGTTACTGGTGGGTGGGGGAACTCCTCCCCTCCCGGTGGGCGGGGATCTGTGGCCCCTCCTGTTCCTGGAGGCCCAGCCCTTCGGACTCCAGGCTGCCACTGGCTGCCTGGCCTCTCCCGTCCCCTCTGGCCTGTTTCCTGGGCCCTCTGCCTCCTGTTGCCTCCAGGAGCCTGCTGGCATTGCGGACCTGGTGCCTCCCTCCACCCCCTGACTAAAGGGGTGGAGAATGCTTTTCCCTCTCTGAAAGCCAGGCTGCTTGCTGTAGGGGAGTTGGCCCTGAGACACTGAGCTGAGGTGCCCGTCTCCCCGGGGCCAGTCTGCCCACTCTGTGATAGCTTTCCAGTACCTGCGGTCCCTACCAACCTGGAAAAGGATTTTATATTTAAGGGTGTGCCCCTCCCCCACCCTAGGGGCTCCCCCAAGCCAGGAGGATAAGCCTGGAGGGTGGAGACCTCCGGGCTTGGGGGATGACTCTCTGGGATGCTCAATCCCCTGGACAGTCATACATTGGGTTCCTTCTGAGCCATGAACCTAGGCCATGTACACAGCTATTAGCTCTCAAACCCCCAGGCACGAGCAGCTGGAAGGACCCGGAATAGCAGCGTCCCCTCAGCAGCCAGGGTTGCAGGCTTTGGGGCGAGTCCTGAGGTCCAGGCCCTCAAGGTCTCAGAGCCTGCATTTCCCCCAAGCAGTTCAGGGCCCCAGGTAGGTAGGATGGGCTCAGGGGTCCCTGCCCAGTACAGGAGCAGCAGGCACGTGGCCTGGCTGTGGGCACCCAGGGAGGTAGGGAGGTGGACTGACTCTGAGATGGCAGGGGCTGGTGGGAGCTGGGGGGCCTGGGGAAGAGGCCAAGAAGATGCCCGGTGGACACTCAGGCCTGGTGCTTGGACCCCAAAGGACCTGTACCCAGTCCTTGGCCCCCGATAACCTCTGCCCCTTTCTGCTTCTCAAGGTCACCAACGATGAGGGCACAGCTGTTCTCCTGGAGCTTCTGACTTCGGGGTGTCCTCCATCCTCCATGCCCCCCGTTCTGTCTGAGGGACCCTGCATGCCTTCTGGCCGGCTGCATGCAGAAACACGCCAGGCCCGCAGTGGCCAGCCTGGCTCCCGGCTTCCCAGGAGGAGCGGCCGTGTCTAGCTGTAAGGACAGAACCCCAGGAGCCTGCGGGTCCTGGTGGCTGAATGTCATTATTCTCCCAACTCGGACTTTAGCTTTTCTCGTTGTGAAACAGCAGGAACCCAGGGACCCCGGCCGCCTCGTCCATCCTGGGAGGGCCGAGCTCTGGGCCCGGCGGGCTGCAGAGCACCGATTTCACGTGTGCGGTTCCTTCCGGCCCTGAGCACCGGGCCCCTGTGCACTCGAGGAATGGGGACCCGCCCTCCCCCCCTCCTGCTCACCCTGGAGCTTGGGCACCCAGCCCTGGCCTCCAGGACACCCTGTCCCTGAGATGCCAGGAGGTGGCCGTATGTGTGAGGCAGTGAGGGCTCTCGCTGTGAAAACTGACTTAGAAAGGAAAAACCTTCGTTCTGCTGTTTGTAAGCGTGTGTTCCTTTCCCCCTTTTGTCACTTTAAAGACCAAAATGAAATAAGCAAAAGAAAATGAGTTCTGCTCTTTGTTTGTTCAGTGTATTCAAGAATACAGGAGCTCTGTGTCCCGCGACACCTGTGTCTCCCTGTCTTGGCTGTCCTGTTGAAGGGACCCCGCCCATGTTGAGGTCTGTCCCCCATGAGACATAGCCACCTATTCTGGCACGGCTGCTTATGGGGGCAGCGGGTTCCAGCCTCCCTGAGGCCCTCTGGGTGACACTGACTTCGCTGGTGCAGCAGTATCTCTGCAATGGGCAGTTCTGCTGCGGCTTCTCCCAGTGAGACCCGCATCTCCCGTTTCCTTGGGTCCCCACTCCGGGGAGCCCCCTTGCTGCCCCTGCCTCGTAGGTTCAGCAGAGCCACGCCTGAGGAGGGGCAGGGAGCCTGGCCTCCGAGTGCAGGCCGGAGGGCAGTGCAGACCTCTGCTCCGTGCCAGAAGCTGTCCCCGCTCTCGGAGCCCGGCCGTGAGGCCTCTGTGCTGGGGATCCCCAGGCGCCGGCAGCAGCTGTGCCCCCCCTGAGGGGGGACTGGCTGCTCCACAGGTGTCCCCTAGATCTGGGGAAGAGCTGAGGCAGAGAGACAGGGCGTCCTTCCCAAGCGGGGCATTGCCCCCTGGAGAAACACATCTTAAACAGAGCAGCCACGACTCAGGGTCCAGGAGATGGACAGCCACGTGCAGCCCTGGCCTGGGAACTTTTACTCCTGACCACCCAGCCTGGGCCCCCAGCTCAGGCACGAGGACAGAGACCAGTACAGGGGTTTGCATTCAGCATCGTCACCCCAAGCTCCAGGGCTGGGTGAGGCCCCGCAGGAAACAAAAGTAGGCCCTGACCCTCCTAAGGGCCAGCTGGGGTCCAGCAGCTAAAGTCCAGCCCCCGAGATGATCCTCAGGCCTGTAGGCTCCCCGGTCCCTTGGCTGTCCACTCCCTGATGGCCCAACGCTGCCTAGTCCTGCTGGGGTGCTCTCCTACCCTGGGCTTGGGTCCTCCACCATGGCCACCGCCACCCCCAGCTCAGACCGCCAGGACGGGGCCGCTGCTCTCGGGGGCTGCCCTTGCTGAAGCCGCCTCAGCCCGCGAGGGGCTGGATAGAGCCGAGTCCTGGCTGTTCCCGCTGGAGCTGGCCCAGTTCTCCATCCCCACCCCCACCCCAGCTAGGGACACTGGCCCCTGGGTGTGTTGGGACAGACAGCAGTTCTAATTAAAAGGGAAGGCAGCTTTTTTTTTTTTTTTAAGGCTTTGTGACTGTTTCTTTAGGCAGCAAATTAATCATGTTTTCATGTCAGTTTGATTTCGTGGTGCTCACACCCTGCTTGGCTGTGTGGTCGTCATTCTTCCCAGGAATTGGGAGGCGAGACCCCTCACCTGGGCTGGTGGCTCCCCTCCCCCTGGTGACATCTGGGTGCCATCGTGACAGTGGTACTCTGCTCCGTCCCCTACCCAGCCACCCTTCCAGAGAGGGCCTAGCACAGTGGGGTGGGAGGTGGGTGGGCTTCCCGGGGGGCACAGGCACTTGGGGACACCTCCTCCCTGGGAAAGGCTCCGGGGAGGGGAAGTCCGTGCCAGCCTGTGCAGTCTTGCTGGGCCCTGGGTCCGTGACGCTGTCACCGGGGCCAGCTTCCCTCCCTGCCTCCCCCAGCCGTGGAGACATCCGGAGCCCCGGCAGATGTATTTTTAGCCCTGCCTGCCGCCAAGATTGGCCTTCTCACCTCTGAGATCAGAAACGGAGGATGAGGCCCTCAGGTCCCCGGCAGGGCAGCCGGTCTGGAGAGCAGGACGCTGGCTTCTTTCCGGCCGGTGGTCCTGCGCCTCTCCTGGTCTCCCCCGGCCAGGACTCCGGGTCTCCCCTCCCCCACTCCGCTGCAGCAGCTGAGAGGGCCGAGCCAGGCCTCTCCCCAAGTCCTGCAGTCCTTCCCGGGGCCTCTTGGGCAGTCTGGGGATATTTTTTACATAATTAATACACTTTAAAAATTTATATACTTCCTATTTCAGAGCAGGAGATCCGGACAGGGCAGACGCAGACTCCCGCCCCCACCCCTGTGGCCGATCCTGATACATTGTTACTAACTAGCACCTGTAGTTTGCATCAGCGCCGTCTTCATGTCATAGGTTCCGTGGGTTTTCACAAATGCGTGATGACAGGTCTTCACCATGTCAGCATCACAGGCAAAGAGTCACTGCCCTGAACACCCCCAGACAGCTGTTCACTGATGTTCTAAATGAATCAAGACACGTGGAATTGTGAAGGAAACCAGTGAATTTGGAATAATTATCAAAATATCACGAAGTAGATGTGTGAAGTGGTGGTGGTGGGCTCCTCCTCACGTGCACGGTTGGAGGCGGGGTGAGTGGATGTTTGGGAGGTTCCACGGGAAGAGATGCCACATTCCCCTGAGAGATCAGTTTCTCACTGAAAGGAGTCATCGTTTCCTGTCCAGGTTCCCGGACTCCCTGATTAAGGACCCTCGTTCTAGAAACCATGCCGAAGGCTGGCGAATCAGAAGAGCATACCCCCTGGCCGGTTTGGCTCAGCGGTTAGAGCGTCGGCCCTCGGACCAGAGAGTCCCGAGTTTGGTTCCTGCTAAGGGCACGGACCTCGGTTGCAGTTTGTCCCCGGCCCCATTTGAGGTTGTGTGGGTGGCAACCAGTCGATGTGTCTCTCTCACATTGATGTTTGTCACTCTCTTCCCCCCTCTCTCCCTCTTGCTCTATCTGAAGATAAATGCAAAAATGCCCTCGGGTGAGGATAAAATACCAATAGGAATAGAAAGTGTGTTTCCAAAACCAAAGGCATTGGTGTGCCCTCCACCGGCACAGACAGCCAAGTGACTTGATGCTCCATGTGCTCAGCCCGCTCCAGTGACTTCACTTCTCCCTGCGACAGAAAACGGGGTGAATTAGAAGTTAATCAGGTTTTGTTAGATGGGGGGTGTAATTAACGCCCATCCCCCCCATAACAGCAGGACGTTTGCATTTCAGTGTCTCCTCCTGACCATGAGAGCTGGGAGAGACCGCAGACAGAGTGGCCAGCAGGCAGGTCCCTGGGTGTCCAGGGTGCCACCAGCATGTCCCTCATCACCGGCAGCACCAAAGGCACCAGTTTGTTATTCCTCGTGTGCCCTTGTGGACACGGTGTGCACAGTGCTATGCAAACTCTGTTGTGTCCCAACAAGTGTGCAGAGCAGGTGTAGGCTGGGCCTGGTTCAGCTGCCCCTGGCCAGGTGCCTCTGGCTTGGCATCTGTAGAGGGCACTGTGCCCCGCCTTCAGCTCCTCCTCCCCTGCCCTGTACGTTCATCCCATTTTCTGCCCCACTTGTTCTGACCTCCTTCCTCAGGCCCACAGATGCCCTCCCTGCCCCTTGGATCCTGGAGCTCACAGCAGGCATCCTGTCCCCCGTCAATCCCTCCTGGTCCTGGAGGCTGAGGCCTTTCCTCCAAGTGGGGCACACAGGGTCTCTTGTCTCCATGCCAGCCCATCTCACAGAGGGGCAGGGAGGCTCAGAGGGGCCGTACACATTCTAGGCAGAAGCCCCAGGGTTTGAACTCGGGTCACCCGGCTCTGCAGCCGTGCACTGTCCCCTGAGCCCCGCTGCCCAGATGGCATGGTCCAGCACAGGGTCGAGCATCGAGGGCAGTGCCTCAGAGAAATTCGCTGCAGACACTCTGAGCTGGTCTCTGGCGATTCCAACTGAGAGTCACGAAGGGAGACTGGGCATGCTTCGGGCCCTGCCGACCTCGATGCCAGGGGCGTGCAGTGGGCGAGCTAAGGCTGGCTGCCTCCAGGCACAGCCGCCCCTGCAGGGTGCTCCAGGGCCAAGCCCTTGCCTTCAACCCTCAGCCAGTGTCAGGAACAGTATGAATGCTTCCCTCTACACCTGCAGGGCATGGCTGGGCCTCACCCTCCAGGCCCTGCCTGGCCTCCGTTAGCATGTGGACACCGGATCCACACCCAAGGGTGCTTGGGGCAGAGAGGGACTGGCTGCCAATGCAGGGTCTTGGAAGGGGTCCCTCGTCTGGCCCACGCAGAGGCCTAGGACTGAGTCCTGCAGAGGGAACGAGGCTCAGGTCATGACCCCAAAGTCCCTGTCCCGCCCTGTGCCAGGTGGGCAAGCAGGACCCAGCTCTGTCTCCAGGACAGTGGGCATCTCACGAAGAAGGGCACTGCCGACGTGGGCTGCTGGCCCCATGGCTGCAGAGGGCGGGCAGGCAGGGAGGGCGTCCCCTTCTCATTTCAGGATCTGGGCCGGCAGAGCCCAGCTCATCGGGACTCTGGTGGGGGTGGTCTGCGCCTGCCCCTGCCACGGGCTGTCCCCAGTCTCCCCACCCCCAAACCCTCGGCCCAGCAGGCATCCCTGCCTCCGCATGCCCACCAGCAGCCTGAGTCTCAGGCAGGCTCTGGAGACTTGTCCAGAACACGCTGGGGCCCCTGAGACTGCAATGCCATGATGGTGACAGCGTTTCCTAGGAAACCACAGCCAGCTGCCAGCAGCCTGTCTGTGTTGGGGGTGGGGTGGGGCTGCGGCTGGTGTAGGCAGGGGCACCCTGGGGGGAAGGTGCGTGTCTCTGTGTGAGAGGGGGTATGTGCCGGTCGTGTGTCTGTGAGGGGTCTGTGTGTGGGTCTGTGCGTGGGTGTGTGTCGTGGGTGGGCCTCCTCAGGCCTGGGGGTTCTGCATGGGCAGCTCACCTCCCTGCACCGGTCTTATAATGTCAGTGGGCAAGGCTGGCTCACCGCTCCCTGCCCGGCCCTGGCAGAGGCCGGGGGCCTTCGGGC